GAGAAAAGACTGGGTTCACATCCAGCTCCCACATAATAGCTAAACACCTTTCTGGGAATGCCTGTAACCCAGCACTATGAGGAATAGAAACAGAAGGACTTACTGGCTTCCAGCTGGCTGAAAACTAAATGTAAGCTTCATGTTCAAGGACAGGCCATACGTTGGAGGAATAAGGTGTAGAGTGGTAGAGAGGGCACCCAACACTTTGCCATGCTTCCACTCACACACATGGACACATGCACTCACACACATATTCATACCCACACATACACATTTTTTAATTGAATAAAAGGAAAATATAAGATTGTTTCCAGAAGATTGAACTGGCTGGTAACATTTACATGAAGAAGGTCTTGCTGGTAAAAAAATCAAAACAGCTGTAGCCCAGCCGAAGACCATGGGAGTATACAACAGGTGACAATTAGTATTTAACAGGTTCACCCTCCAGATGAATGACTCTGCTGGTAAGGACCTTGGGGTCGCTGGCTGTAGATAACTGTTTGTCTCTGTCTGTAGTTTTTCTCATGTGCCAGCTATGGGTATTTTTCCCACTACTTTGTGTGTCTATCTAGTGAGAATATTCCATCTATTGGGCACACATATAGCTGTGGTAGTCAGGAAGATGATTTCTGCTTATTCTGTATAATTCTGATGAATAGAAATAATACTAGGTTATTTTTCATTACTTAGACTGGCATAGGAAAGTAATAGTATTCTCAGTCACAAAGACAGCTAATTTTAGACTTCAGAACAAATTCAAAGCAAACTGGTTGCCCCTGGAGACAAATACACAAGGACAATTTCCCAGGTATTTATTGCTGATTCAAGGTTAGTCATGAAGCAACTTTAGTAGACATAACTTTCTCAGCAATGGACTTTCTGCACATACTCCCAACCTCAAGGTTCAGACAACTAAGTATTTATTGTTTAAGCTCTGAATTTCAATGTCACTTTCTGTCTGGGAACCCTGGCCCCTCAGAGCTACATGCTTACTTTACTCAGCATGCCCAGTCAGCGTAAACTCCCCAGCTTGAGAGAAACTGTGAGATCAGTATGGCTCTGTTTCTTATTGTTTACTCAAGAAGTGCTATGTGTCCCTGAAATGTGATTCATATAGTTCAGAGGCTTTGCTGTAGAGAGAGATGGAAGGAAAGAGAAAGAGGCAGCTGTATAGAAGAGATATAAGTGTTCAGGAGAGGTGTGTGTGAAGAAAGAAGTATATGACTGTGTGGAGAAGAGATGTAACTGTGCATAGGGGTGTGTGGCTGTGTACAAGGTCGATGTAGCTGGGGATAAGCTGTAACTGTGAAAAGAGATATAACTGTGTGGAGAGACTGTCAAGAAAGAGAGATTATTCAAAATGAAGTAAAAGAGAAGGTTACCACCAGGAATAGGTGCTTGTTCTTTTTTTCTTGTTACCGTCAGAAGGCATGTGTTTCACTGTTTACCCACAGATAGGAGAGTCTAGCCCTCAGATAGGGAAGAGATTTCCCTAAGTCCCTGCTGCTCTGAAGGAGTTCTTTATGCAACCCTGGGTTCAGACCTAGGACCTGGCCTCCAGGTCTTTTGGTAAAACCCACACCACCTTCATGGCCTCAGCCTGTTTTAAGACTCTGCAGAGGTCAGAGATCAACCCCAGGAGTCATTCCTCAGGCACCTTTTACTGTTTGTTGGTGACATGTTTCTTATTGGCCTGGAAATAACCAAATAAACAAAGCCTTGTGGCATTGAGCCCCAGGAATCAGCCCAAAGTTTCTGCCTACCCAATACAGGGGTAGCAGCTCTGTGCCTCCATGCCTGGGCATTGAAATCAGGTCAGTTGTCCCTGCTTGAAAAACATCTTTTGTAGAATTTCACATACCAGGCATTTGCTCTTTTTCTTAATTCTTTCTACCTGTGCTGGTTCTGCTGGAATTTCTAGGCCTGCTTCTTACCACAGCCCTCTGTAGACTTGTCCCACTTTGCCCCAGGCATGTCTCCATTTTGCTTCAGACTTGAGCTGAACACAACTGTTATTGGCCACCTTTCACAGTGAAGACTAGGTGACCTTGGGCCCATTTTTAACTTCTCTGTGGTTCCTTATCTTCCATACAGTAGAAATGAGAACGGCAGTGCCCACAGTAAGTGATGCTCAATTAGATTTGTATGCACAGTTCTAATTCATTAACAGTACTGTTTTTGACTAGATGATGTAGCTACACAAATACCTTACACTGTAAAGTGTATAAAGAACAAATCTGTTTCTGGTAGTCCTGATGTTTGGGAAGCCCAAGTTCAGGTGCTAACATGGCTGTCTAGCAAGGGCTCTGATTGTATCTGCATTCATCACAAGAACAGAAGGCAGAGAGGATGCAGACCCCCCTGACTCCTTTACACACACACACACACACACACACCATAGATAAAACATGTTCTGTCTGTATATGTTATTGTATGTATATTTTTAGGGTGACCATTTGGTATTGGATAACCAGTAGGTGTGTTTTTCCCTTGATGAAGACCATTTTCCCAGTATCAACATTCCTTTGTTGCCTAAATTCCTTGTGTATGGTTGAGGCCCAATGAGTATTACCCTGTCCACATGAGCATGTCTATTGGTGTTTTCCTTACTCAGCTTGTGTTTATGCGGTCATGTTGGTAAGACTTCCTGGGCATAGATAGCTTCTGACATTCTTAGGAGACACCTCATAGCAAACTCCTTGATCCTCTGGCTCTTCCATTATTTCTTCCCTCTTTCCAAAATGATCCCTGAGCCTTAGATGCAGGCATGGTGTTATAGATCAGCATTGTCAAGTTTTTAAAATGTTCTCATTTCCAAGGTCTTAATTAGAGTACCAAGCTTGAAATATTTGGATCCTAATGACATGCCTTCTAATGGACCCCTTTAGAGAAAGAGAAATTTTTGTTTTGTTTTGTTTTGTTTTGTTTTGTTTGGGGAAGGTTATTATCAGATAGCAGCTGCCTGGGAGAGGGTTGGTTACTATTTTCCAGTTATTCCCACTGTACCAAAGGTCCTTTTGGAGGGAGCCTGAGACACTCCCTCCCCAACAGGTCAACAGCTCTGATGGAGGCATAAGATCCACCCACCTGGATGAATATCCACTGGCTTTGCTCACAAAACAATCATGCTGCTGCCCTTCTTCTGAGGGAAGTAAGTTACTATAAACAAACACAAAATGAACTGTGTGCCTATTAGGCAACATTTCTTTTTTTTTTCCCCAAGAATATTAGTGTCCTTGGGGGAAAGATTGTTTTTACTCCAAGGGACTTTACAATCCTTTTGGATCACTGAACTTTCCCTTCTTCCCACCTAGAATCTCTGTCTGAAATCTGAGGAGTTTGTGAATATCGTGTGAAGTGCATATTACTAGGGCTTTGGAATAGCCACAAAGCTGAACTTTATCCAGCTTATTGTTCATGGAATTGGCTATTAGTGTGGCACTGGGCTATGCTGGCATGACATGCAAGTGTGCCATCTGGCCAAGGGACCTCTAGATCAACAGGGTTTTCTGTGAGAGAGTTAAAGAATTAAGCAATTACAGATCTTAGAACCATGGATAGAGATGTGGAAATATGTTCCATAAATACCACTGTAACTACTGAAATCCCTTTGCAGGCAGAGCCTTCTGAAAGCCAGGGAAGTCTGGACATGAGAGGCGAGGGTGGCTCATCTCTCTGATTTCTTCCCTGTTAGCCCCAGAAAATATGCCCAGGCTCCACTTTTGTCCCAGGAAATCTGGCACAGAGAGGATATTTTTTATTAATTTTTAGATCACAGAAAGCTGAGACTTTACCAGAATTTCCACATTCATACTTTTATGCATGTTCTGCCATCTCTGTATGTTTTTCATAAGGTTCATTGGAGTGGAACAACTAAATAGAATTCTGAGGCCACAGTCATATACAAGATAGGGCCCACAGACTTCCATTTTCAAAACTGATGTATGATGAGTACATCTCTGTAAGTCTCCAAAACAGTTTTCAATGCTGACACTATTGATACAATAGTATCAATATAGAAAGTAAATCAGAGGGAAAAAAACTGCCCCATCATACAGAAACTAATGAACATACAGGAGGCAAGTCCATTGTATTTGATGCACATGGGTCTTCAAGTGCTACCCCTCCTTCTACACTCTTCCAGATTTCCATGAAGCACTGTAGGAACAGGGCTCAGGATGGTTTATATCCATTCATCCACTTACTCATCTGTTCAGCGTTTTTTCCTTCAATCATTCAATTCCCGAATCCCTAGGTTGAAAAAAAATGTTCTGTGAGTCCTTGGATAATACATATATAACTTTGATCAGTCACTACTATAAACATTTTCTAACTTATCTTGGACTCACACACAAAGACACACATACACACACCACACACAAACACACATCACACTCTGAGAACAGAATAAGCCTGTGTCTTATGGGGAAGAGGTCAGTGTGGGATATGGCTGTGCTGAGGGCTCCTCCACTCTATTCTCCTCCTTTTGAGACTCCATTCTCAAGTATCTGTTCTTCAGGAAGCTCACTTCCTACTACTTGGTTTGCTGGGATTCTGGCTATAGGTGTGAGGTTCCTGGGTTTTACATAAGTGCCCATTCCAAGGTACAGAGCCATGGTATGCCTCCTGCTCCAGTGGGAATGGACATTGGGGTGTTGGGGTGTCATCTGCTTTTTTTTCTGAGGAGCAAATACAGAACCACAGGAGCAATTGCTCCAGGTCTGTGTTCTCACACACCTTCATATCATCTGGGGGTCGGGGCTGAGGCCAAGGCTAGCTTTGTCTGAAGATGTCTTCAGCTGCACTTGAGGCAGCACTTACCCCTTCTATAGCTGTGCATGGGCTATGTCACATGTGCAGTTCTGGCTCCCAAGCTTTAGGAGAGACAGAGTTTCCAGGCATATTCTGTTGAAGCACTAGGCAAAACCATTTTCCAGCCTTGATTCCATCATATCTGCTAAAATCAGTAGTGAATGGCCATTCACATGGCTCAACCTAAGATGCAGGTAAGGGGGGAGAATAGTGAGTGCCTACTAATGCATCTCCATGGCCATGGATACTTGTGGAGGATGGCCCTTCTGTGCACGTAAGGACATAAAAAGCACTCGGCCGAGGCCTGGAAAGGAGAAAGGGATAAACACACTAGTTATGTGATAGTATGACACACATACCAAAGATTCTTGTAACAGCAGAAACCAGACATGTAGGGAGTAATTACCAAGTCATCATAATAATGAAGGCCTAATATGGGGAGGTGACAATGAGGGTATGAAGGCAGTGAAGATGAGAAGGTCATTCCTGGTGCCTAATCAGTCACTCTGGACACCTTACGGGATATATCAAGGCAGGGAGGACAAGTGCTATGCAGTGACTGAAGCCTGACCAGTGTCAGAGAATGGAAATCAGCATTAAAGCTAGGTGTAGGGGTTCCCCTGAGATGCCATAGAGGGTACCAAGCAGCGCTTTGACAGAAGTAAGGCAAAAGACAGGGTGGCTTGGGGAAAGAGGATGATAAGGAGACGCAGCAGAGAAAGACTCCATTAGGAGCCATTGTGGGAGGGACCCTGGGACTAAGGGCAGAGCAAGCCTCTCAGGGTTACAGAGGCCAGAGCAGGAGGATGGTAAAACATGGGAATGCTACCACTCTAACGACCTTCTGACTGGAGAAGGCAAACACCAAGCCACAGTGTGCTTGGCAGTGGATTCAGTTGAGTGGCAGAGGTCACTGTTCTTAAAGGGTTTTGATAGCAACAGTGAAGAGATTACTGGAGGAAGACACCAAAGCAGGAAGATTACACTGTGTCCTTTATGTAGTTGTATTGCACAAGGCATCTGTTGACCATTCCCACAACAAAAGAGGGTAGTAACAAGCTGAAGAACACGGAGATGTGGGCATTAGTGAGGGAGCCAGATCCTAGCCATTAGAATATTCAGAAGAATGGTGCTCCTATCTATTAGTTATTCTGAACTAGGACTCGACCTAGGGTGGTCTAGGTCTTACCTTAGCAAATATCAACCCTTAGTTTTATTCTAAATATTACAGATTCCTGTTCATGAAGAAGAGTATAGGGGCACAAAATGTTCTATTGTAAATGTTCATTGATTTTAATCATGAGGTAGGCAGAAGGACAAACACAGCCTTCACTAGCTTCCCCACTGGTGCTGCAGTATGCTTTCCAGTGGCTGTGGGGACAGGAAGGAAGGTATACAATTTTCCACGAGCACAGTCATTGCAATTCTGTGGAGAAATGCCCAGGAACTGATAATAACCTTCAGAGCTTCCACAAAGCAGAAATGGCTTCTGGTGTTTGAATTAAATGAGTTAAGGACAAGAACCTGAGAAGGAAAACCCATCTCAAATGGGTATTACTTGCAGGTACTTAAGATGCATTAGGATCTGTTTTCCTACTAGGTTCTGTAAACTTCTGATGTTTTCCATAGTTTTATGTTTTCTTGTTCCCCTTCCCCTCAGATGTCCACGTCTATCCCCCAGTTCCATGCTACCCACCTGTCATATGCAGTGTGTGAGTTCTGTAACCCCACGGCAGGATGTTCCTAAGTCAACTGAACACGCGTTGCTTTCCACTAGTGCTCATAGGTGTTGAAGTTATGTAGCCTTTAACTGTGTTTGTACACTCCAAAGCTGAGGAGGACTTAAGGTCTATCTGCACATAATGCTGTCCATGTTCTTATCTTTCTGCCTGCCCCTCCCCCAGAGCTGTGACCTGGAACAGCAGAGCATTGTTCACGTTGTTCAGAGACCAGGGAGAAAAAGTCACGAGACACATGCATCTGGAGAGGACAAGCCCCACGACACCTCAGGGGGTTCGGTATGGGCACCCAGGAGCTTGACCAGGGTGGACCTCAGTAGCCATATCCTACCAGCAGACTCCGTGGGACTGGCGGTCATTCTGGATGCAGACAGCAGGCATGGTTCAGAAGCAGCCAGAAATCCAGGTAACTGCAGTGATGCTGCTGAAGAATTTTGTCTGTTAACTGACTCTCCAGAGAGTGTCCTCACTCTGCACACATTTGGTTCATGATATGTTTGGGGCTAAAATCTTTAAGTGACTGCAGGGGGATGTCCCGAGCATACACAGTTGTAGAAGGGAGGGGAGTGCATGAAATAGTGAGTAGGAACAATAGAACAGAGGTGAGAGTAGAGCAGACATAAAGGATGCTGAGGATGCATGGGCCATGAACAATGCGTTATGTTTCTCCTTTGAGGAGGTAGGGTGGTAAAAACATGTGGCAAGCTGTGTGAGGGTTTGGGTATACAACCAGGAGCACACATGTCTGTCTTACACTTTGTTTTTCTTTAATTTCTTGGGTTCTTAAATGTATTTTCTTTGACTATATTTTCAGTGATGCAGAGAAGGTTTAAAAATCAAAGGTGTTTTTAATTTCTCATTCACACTCTCTGGCCCCAGGTCATGATGTCAGTATAATCATTTCAAGCACTTTCCTTGGTAAATAAATGCATGGCCTCAGTGAATTTCTTTAGTGATGACTGATCATGTTTAGTGCACAGGGAAGTGTTCCTCACAGTTTGGAAGCTGGGACACCTAGGTGGCCTGAGGTTGGGAGTCTGGAAGGGCCTAGCATCGATTTCTAAGGCGGCACCATATTGGTGCCTTTCTCTGAAGAGATGAAGACCATGTCTATGCCTGAAAGAACAAATGATGGGCCCACTGTTTCTTCAAATAATGACTCAAAATAATCCTCATGCCAGAGACATATTTTGTATTCCATATTATCTAGATGTCTATATATTCATGGCGAACTATTCTCTTGTTTGACTATAGTGATCCATCATGAATTCATTTTTTAATGACATTAATCCTACCCCTGAGATCCTGAAGTTTCCACGTCTTAATATCATATTTGTGATTAGGTTTAGAGGGGATATGGATAGTTAAACCCTAGCAGACAGCCATCATTTTGTTATGCTGATGATATTAATATATTTCCTTAAGCATTAATTATCTGAGATGAATAAGTAATGGCAGAACCCTAGCACTTTGGTCTGTACATACAGATAAAAGCCAATAATTAACTCTCCAGAGTAGTTTATTTCGTCTCCCACATAGACATAGATAGGCCTGGACTAGCATGGCTTTCTTAGCACCAGGGATCCCAAGGCCAGAAAGATGGAAGCTTCAAAATAATAAAAAATGCCTCTTGTTAAAATCCCTAAGTACTGTTTAATTGATTTTTAAGACTATCAGTGATCTTCTAGTTAAAAGATGAAGGAACAACAACAACAAAGAACATTTAAGTAACAGTTTCCAGCTGTAGTTACATAAAAGGGTGGATGGCCCCAGAAGTTAGGTGTACTGTTTCTAACCATGAAAATAATTGTGAGCTCATCTCATAAAGGGAAGAACACACAGGACAAAGAGGTCCTGAAATTAAAGGAGCTGAAGCTGGCTGGATGAGAGCAACAACCTGGATAGCTCCCAAGAGAGGCAAGAGTATAGAAATAGTGGAGCCGTAGCCGGCTTCGAAGAGCAGTGCCTTGACCTTACAATTCAGCACCCAAAGAACTGTTGCTCAAGGACGAAACAAGGATAAAAACAACCTCATAAGCCAGCATGAGCTTGTCTGCCCTCAGCTTGCAAATCCTGTTGAAGGATTTACCACAGCAAAAAGTGAGGCTGAGGCCAAAATAAATACTTGAGGGACAACACTCACAAACAAGCCGTGTTGGTGTGAATTATGATGATGGTCAGTTTGATGGACAAGCAAGCAAGGTGCAACATAAACAGTGGAGAAAATGTCACTTAATAGAAAAGCTGCATTAAGAGATTACTACTGTAACAATAAAAAGGGTAAGCTAGAATCATAATGTTGACCCTCAAATTAGTACTCTGATGTTGGTTGAGATGTAGATTGTTCTGTGTTTTTATGCATTATGCTGCGAATGTCATTCTGTTGAAGCCAAGAGAGAGCAATTCTATAGCTTCATGGAAGTGAGTGAGCTTCAAGATGAACCTTCCATGACACCTGTAGACAGGATTGTAACAGAAATTTATGAGGTTATGAAAAATAGAAAGAATAGCTGTCTTTAAAGTGTGATGTTGCATACCTATGATAATTCCATAGTTAAAACAAATGGTCTGTATTTGTTATATTAACAAATCAACAAATACAGAGTTAAGGCTCTTTTTTAAAAGTTGTCAGTTGCAAATGGATGCTCAGTGAAATATGGCTTATATAAAAATAAAAACATAAAAAACTACACATGCTGTTCATCATGAAGATTATCATGTGGGTATGGTTGAAAATAAAACATAGTACTAAAACAGTTAATTTTTCATACTTTTAAGATGTTTATTGACCAAATCACTCCATTATATTAGTAGAACAACCAACAAATGTGACATTCAAATTTTCTTTCTAAAAATAAAATAAACATTTACATTTTTGAGCAAAACTCAACCTCTCTACTCATTGTCTCAACAAGAACAACGGCAGAATAATCCCATGTGCACACACCCAATACCTTCTTCAGTCTGCTGCTGTTTCTGCCTATGCTATCTTATCACTTAGGTTTAACTCTGTGTTCATCTAAATAGAACCATAAGAAGCTGGTGTGGTGGGGACTGGCTTCTTAATCCAGAAACCAAAGTGAGAAAGCCATGTTGAAAAGCAAGGAAGGAATTTAATCATTGATGTGGAAATGGGGAACAGCATCCTCAGACCTGACTTCAGGTTTCTGAGATGAGTGAGCTTGCAGTTTAAATAGAGGAGGGGTTGGGGCAGGAAGGCACAAGGGTATGCATAATTAAGCAACCTTGCTCACTTTCTGGCCTGATGATTCTCAGTGCTGGCTCTGTGAGATCCTGGAGAAATCTATTGTTCCAGGGCCAGTTCTCTTTCTATCATGATATAACAACTCCTGCTTAATTGGTGTGAGGGCTAGGGATCCTCATGGTTCCTTCATGGGACAATTGTTCTTACTTAGGGACCAGTGACACAATAGGGTCATCTGCCTATAGGGCAGCTGTTTCTAGAACTCAAGGAGAATGACTCCATTCTCTCAATTTGGTTCATGGGAAGATTTAGCAACTGACTAAGGTTGGTTGTGTGTCTCTTCATTGCTCTTACTTTGTCTTCATCCTGGAAGGAGAAGGACGAGCAGCTTGACATGGCCTATCCTCAGGTGGGGATCACGTCTGTGTTAGACTTGTGCAGGAATCTGACCCACCCCTCTAACACAGTGAAGGCAATAGATGCAGAATGAGGGCCAAGACACCATTTCTTGTTCTGCTTTTACAAATGCATTGTGTATGTGTGAACCGAAGTGAAGAGTCAGTTTGTCTTTTCTTTTTCAGAAAAAGCAATCTAACTCTTTATTACAGAAATGTCTGTAACCTGAGAATTTGCTTTCCAGGTATCTGTAGGTAGGAGAAATTATCTAATCAATAAGAGAGGTGATACATGATTTACATAAAAACCACTTATACTGTTTATACTGTGGAACTTGTCAATGTCTCAGTGAAGTCACATCAGACCAAAAGGACAGTGGAGACAAGTCTTGGCTAAGGAGAACCTGTACACACAGCTCTAAAATAAGCATGTTTAAAAAGTCCATGAGGCATTCCTCCATGCTCAGCACCTCCAGCACATGCCCTGTAACAGAGCTACACCAGAAACTCTGTCAAACCTAACATGACTCAAATATGGCTCCTTCCCAGGAACACATACCTAGCTCTGGCTGTCTCCTCTAGTGCTATAACACTGGGCCTGCCTCAGGACACCCTAACCAACGATGTTTGTTTGGAAACAGTTGATAGGTTCATTTTGCCTTTAGAATTCTCTCATCATCAGTGCCTCGGGATGCTTCTATGATCCTTTTCTTGGGGGACACTTGTCTTATTTTACATTTGCAGTACTTAACAGTCTAGGACATTCAGGCTGATCAGAAGTCAAAGAGCTAAAGTGAGCCATGGGGCCAGTGGCTCTCCACCTCCTCAGGGTCACCTGCAGGCTTAGGGGAGCACAGGATGCTGAGCCCCCACTGCCCATGGCTTAGGGCAGGGACCAAGGAAGTGCACTTCTGACAGGTCGTAAGGCAGTGTTAATAAGCAGTCTTGGGGCAAAATTGAGTAGCACTGTCTCAGACAGTAAAAAATAGTATTGTTCAAAATATGCTCAGTGAACACAATATATAATTTTACAGACTTTGAATGTGAACAGAGCTATCTTTGGCCTTGGAGTTCTTGTGTATAAATTAAGTTTCCATGTTGTTTGTGTTTCCTGAATGAGGGACCATCCATTACCTCCTGACAGGTAAAATAAAGCTACGAAACCTAGAAAAGAAGGGGTCTCCTCTAACATTACTATGCAACTAATCATGCAGACACACACACTGGATCCCTACCCTGTACCAGGCACAGGTCCAGGCACTGGGATAGAGCAGGAAAGTAAACAAGAGATGATCATTCTAGCTGTAAGAGGTAATAAGCAAGCATGAGTCACTAGCAAGAGTGTATCCTGTTGGCTGTCTAGCAGAAAAAAAAAAAAAAAACAGTGCAAGCATAGGTTCCTCTGGGACATGCTCACATTTGGAGTGGGCATGAAGAGGGAGTATGTTTTCTGACAGCTCAGGCAGAGGCATTGGACAGGTCTACGAACTCAAGGCAGAGCAATGTTGAGAAAGCAAGTAGAACAATCAAAGACAAGGGCAGAAAGTGTGGCTGAGTAGAGCAAGGTCTTGCATGACCTCCCTGCAAAGCATAATCTTAAACTGGGGCCTCGTAAAAGTCATGTCTTTTGTTAATTTCAGTCAGATAGTTAAGTTTGAAAGATCAACTTTATATCATAGGGTTTTCTATTTTCTCATTAATTTTTTATTTTAAATATTAAATCCTTGACTGGTAGATGCTCACTGGGTAAAGGTGCTTGGCCAAGACTGATAACCTGAGCTGTGTCCCTAGGATCCACCTAGTAGA